CAAATTTAAAGAAAGATTACGGTAGAATCAAGAACACGTCCCTAAATTAGTAAAATTATTCTTAGATTGTATCTTGTATTGTACATTTAACAGCGTCTACTGTAAGCTTTAAATTTGTCATATAGAAAGAAAATATGTAACTACCGACACTGGAGTTCGAGCGTGGCACTCTGGACTTAAGAATATATGTTTTTCAGCAGGTGAAAAAATAGGGTTGTCAGGCTACTAACTGTAGTGATTACTGAGTGACTATTGAGTGGAACTATCCAGTCGAATTAGTGTGAATTATTGTGCATCGATGATTTGGGTTTTAATTTAGGAGTTACCGGAAGTTTAGCCGAGCCGCGCTACTAACAAGGTATTCACTGAAATGGTTAATTATCTTTAGTTGACTTTTAATTCTTTAATCTTGATAAGTATTTATTTGAGGTTGTAATTAAATATGTTTTATTCTATCCATTGAAGTCTTGAGTTATACTTAATTATGAACGGTTACCGTACGTCACAAAAAATAAAAAAAAATAAAAAATAAAAATAAAATAATAACTCGAAAAGGAAGCATTTGCAGACATAACTTTATATGGACTTTTGCCCTTGTTTTGGTGTGAGGAACCAGACCCCAAAGGTTGTAAAAGTATTTTTGATACATCCTGTATATATATTGTGGAGATTCCCAGAAATAAATCCTTTGCATTGAACACTTGATCGTCTCTTTGGGAAGTCCTCGTTGCGGGGAATGTATTAAATTCAAGATGTAAATAGTGTTATATATAGACTGAACGGCGATACCGTGATCGAATGATAATTAGATTCTAGGCCAATGGTTATTAAATGGGGGACTTAAAAACAGAGGCAGGCAAACGTCAGAGGAGCGGCTATGAGAAAATAAAGAAAACATTGATATTAATATTAAACTTAAATATATTGTTATGAAAATAAACCTTACCAAAACAAAAATAAAAAAGGGGTATAAGACAAGGAAGAGTCTTCTCGCCAGACCTTTTTAAGTTATACACTGAGACAATTCTGAGAGAATTAGAAGTTCGACCAGAATTCATTATTGGCTGCCACAGTCTTTATAACCATAAGATATTCAGATGACACAGTTTTGATTGCAGACACAGAAAGGAAACTATAAGAAATTCTACAGAAGGCATTGAAGGAAAGCGAGAAGAAAGGACTAAACCCCAATTGCAAGAAAACTGAAAGCATGTTTGGTAGAAAGAGGGACAGACTAACATGCAAATTACAAATTGGAGATAAAGAAATCAAACATCCGCAATAATTTAGATATCTGGGAAGCGGATTAACAGAGGAAGGAAAGTGTAACAGTGAAATCAGAAGTTGCAATTGGACAACGAAAGATGACTTCCAAAAGCTAAGCAAAGAAATAAGAAACAGAAAAAATATTGTTAGAAACAAAGAAAATACTACTGAACTGTTATGTAATATCAGTCCTCTTACATGGCAGTGAATGTTGGAAAATTGCCTCACAGATGAAGAAGAGACTTGAAACAACAGAACAGAGGTTCTACAGAAGGATACTGAGAATACCATGGGCCGAATATGTGAGCAATAACGAAGTATTAGAAGCAATAGCAACAAACTAAAAATACTTATAATTAACACCAGGAAGAGATAGTTGGAATTTTTGCGGCAGATAATGAGGAAAGATGACATGGAAAATTTGATACTGACAGGAGAGACCGAAGACAAAAGGGGCCAAGTAATGCAACGCATAACCTAAGGGCGAGCTTGAATGAAAGGATGGCGAAAGAGGGTTTGGAAGAGATGACAAAAAAGACAAAGGTTATTAAGGACATAAAAGGGGAGGAAATTGTGGAGAGGCAGAATCGACAACTTCCTGAAGGGACACGGCACACAGAATTATTATAATTGCTTCGTGCTTCAATTTAATTCTTCTTCCTTCTGTTTTGATTTTCTTCTTCTTCTTCTTCTTCTTCTTCTTCTTCTTCTTCTTCTTCTTCTTCTTCATCATCATCATCATCATCTACATCGATTTTCCTCTTCTTTTGAACTACACCACATATTTGATTTAAAAATATATATATATATATATATATATATATATATATATATATATATATACTTTTCTTTTTTCGCTCTTTTTCTTTCTATCTATCTATCACTCAATCTATCTATCTCGGTATATTCATTATGTCTCTATCTATCTATCTATCTATCTATCTATCTATCTATCTATCTATCTATCTATCACGGTATATTCATTATCTATCTATCTATCTATCTATCTATCTATCTATCTATTTATCTATCTATCTATCTCCTTTTCCCTTTCTATCTATCTATCTATCTCCTTTTCCCTTTCTATCTATCTATCTATCTATCTATCTGATAGATTTGCTTATCGCCCGGTTTACACTCCTTTCCCGCTTTTGAAAAGGAGCAGAGATTTATCCTTTGTTTTATTTTTAGGCTTGCCTTCTCTCATTCTTCTTCTAAAATATTCTCATTTGTT